AAAGTACGTGAGCATCCCTTGCCCCGCCTTGCCCGCGCTCTCTCTCCCGCAACATTGAAGACGGCCACCTCCATGTCAGCACGTACGCCAAACTTTTCGTGGCATAGCTAAGGTCAATTACTCGAGTTGTGTTGTTTGCTTGCCAGGCCCGGCATTGGTTGCGTCATTGGAGAGGCCCTGGTCCGCTTGCCTCGGCTTAACTGTCAACACCCACACCTGCGTCCCGAATCTACGCCCGACACGCCCGCGCTTTGAGCCGCCGCCGCGCCCAGTCAGAGACGACACATTAGGCATCACACGGCGGACACCGCTCGGCACTTATGCTGCACGGTACAAAACCCGAGCATCATCCGCCCAGTACAATTGGCGCAGCCTGAGCCGCCAAAATGGCCTGGAAGGCAAGCGAGCGGTTGATGGACACCATCCGGCACTATGCCAGCTTCCCCGCTACTGGCGTGAGCCTGCGTCAGATGGTGCAGTTTGGCGAGAAGCCGTCAACTGGTGAGCAGGCTCCAATTCCCTCTCGCGATAACGTCCAGGCTCTTATTCTGACGTTGGCGTGCAAGGGACACTATTCCGTGCCTCGCAGTTCCTCGCCGAGGAGCTGCCCATCCGACTCGCCCACCGTGTCCAGGAGCTCGAAACCCTACCTGATGGCCTCAACGAGATGCCCTCGGTGAAGAAGGTGGCTGAATGGTATGCACAGTCGTTCGAGGTACGCACCCGCACCGCCGCCAGTGGAGAAGATGTGTGACTCACCCATGTTATTTGGTTTAGGAAATTACAACATTGCCCAGGCCCGATCTCGCCAAGGAGGTACGAGAGAGGTTGATGAGGCCCTCGAGGATATCCGGGAGAAGCACATCGTGGCTGAGCGAAGCGACACCAAACCCGAGCATTGAAGAGGGGCAGTACAACTCGTGGAACGGTACCGCCAACGGCAACGGCAATGGCTGGTCCAAGGGCAGGTTCCCCGCAACAAGGAGATACTTTGCTATGGTGGACGACACAGGCGACTGGCCACCTGAGCTGCAATTGTATAACATGAAATTTGCCCAGGCATTACATCGCATCAAGAGGCGGCACGACAGCGTGGTCACCACCATGGCGCAGGGCATCCTCGAGTACAAACGCAAACGGCAACGGATGCAGATCGACAGCAACATACAATCCTTCCTGGACCGCTTCTACATGTCGCGCATCGGGATACGCATGCTCATCGGACAGCACATTGCTCTGACCGACCAGAGCCACTACCGAGACCCTTCTTACGTTGGTATCATCTGCACCAAGACGTACGTTAAGGACCTGGCGCAGGAAGCCATTGAGAACGCACGATTTGTTTGCGAGGACCATTACGGTCTGTTCGAGGCGCCCAAGATCCAGCTCGTATGCGATCCAAACCTCAACTTCATGTATGTGCCGGGCCACTTGTCGCACATGCTCTTCGAGACGCTCAAGAACTCGCTGCGCGCCGTGGTTGAGACACACGGCCAAGACAAGCAGGAGTTCCCCGTCACCAAGGTGATCGTGGCCGAGGGCAAGGAGGACATCACGATAAAGGTCTCAGACGAGGGCGGCGGTATCCCACGCAGCGCCATCCCGCTGGTCTGGACGTACATGTACACCACTGTCGACAGGACACCCAACCTCGACCCGGACTTTGACAAGAGCGACTTCAAGGCACCTATGGCCGGGTTCGGCTACGGCTTACCAATATCACGACTGTATGCGAGGTACTTTGGCGGTGACCTCAAGCTAATAAGCATGGAAGGGTATGTTTCCAAGCCTCTCTCCCCCCATCCGTCATCATACTAACAATGCTGGCACCCACAGTTACGGCACAGACGTGTACCTCCACCTGAACCGCCTATCAAGCTCGTCGGAGCCGCTGGCATAGCAATCAGCAGTCATGAGGGGTACCGGTACGTCTGCATCGCCCCGAGGATTGACGCTGCCAATGCGATACCTGATGCGCAAGCGCCTCAAGAACCTGGCCCCGCTCGAGATTACCGAGCGCAGGCAGGTCGGTGACGTCGAGGCCATCTTTAAGCCGTCGTCGTCTACCACCGCCGACCCCCAGCGCCCCCAGCACCATAACCACCATTACCCCGCTCGGGGCAGCGATAGTGAGCTCTGAAAGAGTCTACTACTTTCCCCTGTTGGTGCTGCGGATGTGAGATATTGGACCGAATTGAACTAGGGGGGCTTTGGCTATTTGATATTTTGCTGTCTCCATCCATCCTAGCCCATCCTTTCCGGGCGGTTGATGGGGACCTACATGGACATACACGCACAAGGGGCGCCGGCATTGCTGGATCGTTTATCTTGCACGGGGCCTGGCGCTTTGTCATGGAATGGAGAGGAAATGGGAAGCTTTTGCCTCATCTGTACGTTGGGAATAGGAGGCCCTATCGTTTTACTACTTACTACCCATCCGCCACTGCTGTTGTAGAGGAGGAGGATTGATTGTTGGTTGGCATCGCTAGACCTGGATTGTGTCGACAGCAACAAAGCAAGCAATGGGAATGTTGAAAGAGGGAATGGGAACGCGAGAGAATATGTAAGACTGATTGATTGATATAGACCGAATCACAACATAGGTACGAAAACAAAATGTGTGCTGTTTGGTTTGATGATGGAGGTGTGACAATGATCATGCTCGCCTTGTCTACCCACCTCTACAACAATAAGCTTGGGGAAATCCTTTAGCTAGGTAGTACAACCGCCCTTCATCTCCCACTCTCCCCCTCTCCCAATGTAAACAAACCTAAGAAACATGCAAAATCAACGTGGCCACCAACCCGCCCCCGTCCCAATTCCCACGCCCAATCCCAACAACCCCAAAGAAAAACCCATCCCCTCGCCTCACACCACCTCACACCTTACACACCACGTCACGCCTTATACAACAAATCCAAAAACCCGCTCGCCAAATCCACCACCACGCTCTTATTCGGCAACGACCCGGCGACACCATACAGCGCGGCCGCATCCCCGGTAACGGCCTCCCCACCACGCGTCTTCTTGCCCTCGACCTGGCGGGCGCGCTCCTTCTCGCGCTCGGCATCGACGACGGCCTCGAGGTCGGCGGCGAGGCGCTCCCAGACTTTGACGATGGGCAGGGTGACGGCGACGTGGATGGCGGGGGGGTCTTGCAGGGCGTTGAGGTGCCAGCCGCGGGCCGACATGGCGTCGGCGACGTCGTAGATGTTGAGCGAGCGCGCGCGGAAGGCGACGACGCTGACGAGGGGGTTGCCGAGGATCTCGAGCTCGGTGGAGAGGGTCGGGTGGGTTTGGATGTGGCTGAGCAGGCGCTTGGTGGCGCCAACGATTTGCGTGCAGGACTTGAGGTAGCCCGTTTCGCCGACCGTCATGAGGCTGGCCCAGCAGCCGGCGATGAGGGCGCCCGGCCGGGAGCCGGCGATGCCGGGGGAGGCGTAGACGCCGCCGGGCCAGGCCGGGTCGACGAAGTATTGGTAGGTGCGCAGGGCTTGGGTGCGGTAGAGCACGGTGCTGTTGCCCTTGGGCGCGAAGCCGTACTTGTGCGTGTCGCAGCTGATGGAGGTGACGCCCTTGAGGCGGAAGTCGAAGGGCGTCGTCTCGAAACCGGCCTTCTCGAGGAAGGGCACCAGGAAGGAGCCTAGGCAGCAGTCGACGTGGAGGGGCAGGCGCTTCTTAACGGCCAGCTTGGAGAGCGCCGAGATGTCGTCGATGATGCCGTGCGGGAAGTTGGGTGCCGAGCCGACGAGGAGGATGGTGTTCCTATTGACGAGACGGGCCACGCGCCGGATGTCGACCTGGTAGCTTGGGGCGGGGCACGCGACGAGGTGGACTTTGATCTTGAAGTACTCGCCCGCCTTGCGGAAGGCTGTGTGTGCCGTGTCGGGCAAGATCCTGGGAACCTGTTAGTAACGGCGCTCAAATCAATAGAGGGGCCTGGGCGGTTGTTTACATTTCCGGCTCGGTAATGCCCCGCTCAACATAGGCCTTTTGCCTCGCGCTGAGGCAAGCCATCAAGATACTCTCAGTCCCGCCGCTCGTGCTCACGCCCGCAGCACCCCGCGGCGCGTTGAACAGGCTCAACACCATGGCCACCACCTCGGCCTCCATCTTCCGCACGCCGGGGAACACATCGGGATGGATCGGGTTCGCCACGGTGAACTTCCCGTACGCCTCCGTCTGCAGCTTCAGCAGCTCGTCCTCGCCGTGGTAGACGGCACCCGAGACGTAGCCGTCCTCCCAGCGCGTGTGGTCCATGGTGGCGAGCGTCTCGAGTTCCTTGCGCACGGCGTCCTCGGCCCAGCCCTCCTTGGGCAGCGTCAGGTAGCGTGTCGTATTGGTGGGGACGAGTTTAGCTTGTAGCTTGGTGAGAGCTTCCTCGACCTGTTTGCGAACCTGGGTCCGCACACCCGGCATCCGGAGGAACCAGCCGTACAACACGCGGCGCACATCAGTGTACACTTCGATCAGCGTGCCGAACAGGCCGCGGCCCTTGAGTTTCCATAGTACGCGGCGCGTCCATTTCCAGAGGAACAGGAAGAAAACGATGTTACGGATCCTGAGAAAGGGGTTGGTGTCAGTGGTTGGTCATTTCAGCAATTGACTTCGAGTTATATATACTACTTGGGTAGGTTGTTGCGCCACGCCAAGTTTGAGATGGTGGAGGGACGGGAAGAATGCGGCGCAAGAAACGGGAGGGCATGAAAGTCAGCCACCTACAGATCCAAGTTGATCATGGCCAACGGGCTTCTCGCCGCCCGGGTTCTCCTCCGGGCATTTTCGAAGCCTTCCCGCAGACTAACGGGTAAGCGTGATGTTCCTGACATATTTATAATAACAAAGATCGTAGACCTTTGTGGCGGTTAAAAAATCCGACACTGAGGTCGAGAAGGAAAGATTAACAACAGGGCATGTAGGTCAGGGGAATTCGGGTACCGCGGGACAAACAGGGCAATGGATGACCTCTCATTTGGAGCTCGGCTCATCCCGCTGATTGGGGCATCTTGGACCGAGCAGGCAGGCCTGCCGCGGGCAGCAGACCCCGGCTTTTTGAGGTCCAACCCATGCTCCCCCCAATCCCAAAGCCGGCGCCCCGCGGCTCCCGCTTTGCGCGCAGAATGCGCCCTAAATGCATGGCTTGGCACAGCTAATGCTCTTTAGTGCTGCATAGAACCTTGGAATCTTCACATGCTCGAAAGTTCACTTCGACCGAGCCTCGTTTCTTTTGCGTCAATGCATCTTTGTGTGTCACTGCGAGGCCATAAAGCAGGGTCACGGACTCGTATTCTCCTCATTGATAGACACGGAGTCGGAGACGGGCGCAAATCTGGTATCACCGTCCCCGGCGTGACCTCATCGGACGCAACACTGTCGGAGAACCTTCATAATATAGCCATGCATTTCTTGATTCGGTGGGGTTGTACACGTAATTCTTGCAAGCCGGCGGTTGGAGATGCATATGTGGGGAGCTTCCCCGGGCCTCGGTGTTGCGTATACATAGAGCAGGAGGGGAAAAAGACCAACCAAATAAGCTCTGAGCAGATTTGCCAGAAAACATGCTAATACAAATACATTATACAACTGCCGCTACCTCCCATCTTGTCTTTCGTGGATCTCATAAACGTGGGCTACCACGTGGCCACCTTGCTCCCCCATTCGGGGTTTGGAGGTATGGCACCTTGAAGTCTTATCACCGAGTAGCAACCTCTAGGCCATGTCCGTCCCCCAGGTATGTGTTGCCGTGGGGCACATAACCACCAATACAGTCAGGGCTGTGCTAGAACCCAAACCCAAACCCAAACGCCTCAAGGTACGATATCCCAAAGCCTCGAGGAATAGATCAGCAGGATAGCTAGCGTCTGACGTCAACAAATTTGCCTGGCCGGAGATAGCTTGGCCAATATCATCCACCAAATTCGACCATCATATACTAGCAAACACCCTGCGCCACGCCTGTGCAAACACCTGAGACTCGGTCTCGCACGCCTGCGGCCCAGTGGATGTACACTCGGGAAACCTGATGACCAGATCCCCGTCCTTGTACTCTGCGTCCTTGTCGCCCTTGGCATAGGAGTTGAGGATGCGCTGATCGACGATGGCCATTCGAGAGAGGATGGTCGGGTGCCACTGCACCATGTGTTCCTGCAGGCACAAAGAGTTAACATAAACATGCATATTACAAAGGGTATAAAAGTTTGGTTGGTCGGGAACGCACCAAAGCATGTGTCTCTGCTTTTTGAAAATCATAGCTTCGATAAAGCGGGCTGAACCACGTCTCGAGAAAGAAGCGCGCCCAGTCACCATTGCGCACAATGTAACTGGCCGACGACAGCCCGTCCTTGTCCTGAGTAATCACAAAGTCCACATCCTGCCCCTTGAGATGGCTGAACGTCTTAATGATGCTATCCGGCGGGACGACAGGGTAGTCTTTTTTCATGAGCTCGTCTAACTTGGCCGCTCGCATGACGTGCTCCTCGATCTTCAGTTTTGGGTTCATGATCAGGCCACTCGCGTCCAGGTACCAGACATAGTGGCAATCCGGAAACTTGGTCAGCGCGTCTCGCATGGCGAAAATGGCAGTCCAGGAGAAGGGCGAGCCGGCTAGGTCGTAGTCGCCGATCCTGGCGAGGAGGGTTTTGTAACCTATCTTGTCCGTCAGACTGTGCGTTCACTTTATCCATTGTCCCTGATGGCTGGCATACCATGCTTCTGGGCATACTGCAACCTGTTCTGCTTCACCGTTTCCAAATACACCCCGCTGTACTTGCTCGCATCCAACACTGTCACTAGTACCACAGGTGGGTCGCCCTTGGGTTCTCGCAACGACGCATTTCGGCCGCTTGATCGAGTGACGAGGTATATGAGGGTGAGAAAAAGGAGCCCGCCGAGCGCAATGAGCTTGAGTCGAGACCTCCGCAAGCCGGGCAATCGTGATGTGCGCGGGAGGTAGGGCGGAGGCTGCGACGTTTTTCGTGGGGGGAGTGCGAAATGCATCGTGGGCAAAAGGAGGCCCGGGGAGTCGTCCCTAGGCCGAGATTGAGACCAATGTGAGGGGGATCGATCGGGGTGCTCGTAAAATCGGTGGATGGTCGATGCCGCGTGTCGCTACGTGGCTCGGGAGCACCGTCGAACACAAGGAGCAAAGAACGTGACTTTTCGTGAAAAACTATCCGAGGAGGTCACTGGATAGTGAACGAGTAAAGCACTCTCTCAATTTGCGAAAAGACGATGTTGAGGATCGATAGGTGGTTTTCTTGTCAGGATGACTTGAATCGCTTGCAGACCGGTCGCACAAAGGTTGAAATCAGGACATTGGTGAATTCGAGTAGGTTCGTCCAACAGCTTGCCCTCGGGCTACCTCCTCAAACGCCAAGGGGACAGAGAATGGACCTTGAGGTTGCCAAGGGGAAATCATCACGAAACCGCTGGCCTTCCTGAGTTCCAACTGCGATAACAAGCAGAACTTCTGGCAGGGGAAATGTGGATGGTGCTGGGATATGGGGTTGGCGATAGGCTTATCGTAATGCATGTAACATTAATTACCCCTAACCCTGGCCAACCCTCGTTACTGTGAAGAGAGACAGAAACGAGAAAGCAAAATGAAGGATCAAAAGTGAAAAATCTCACCAACCACTACCAAGGCATACCAAGGTGGTAGCCGGTTAGGAAAGGCGCGTGTTTTTACTACTCAGCATCCGTTGAGCGCGAAAACTCTTGGTGGGAAGGTCTCGGACCCCGTATCATTAGGCTGGTGTCGAGCGCCTTGATCAAAGTATGAAGTTCGAATCTTCTTCTATATGTAAACGGTGTTGGGGGGAAGTGGGAATTTCCATCTGAATCATGGAAAGACTCAGCACTTACTCTGGCCCAGGTTGAATTCGGTGCCTCCAGAAACCGAGTTGATGTTGAGGTTAATTAAGGTAGAAGTGTAGATTGCTATCAAAATAACCATGGCGCAATGCTCTCTAGTGTAGAACATATATGTATCAACCCAGCCTCGCAGCAACCTTTTGAACTTGGCAAAGAAACGCCGAGGAAGCAGAGATAGACTCGAGGAACTCCGAGAAGCCCCCGATTGTAGGCACGGGTTCACGCATTCGCACCTGACCACGACGAGAACAGGACAAGACGCCCCGTTCTCAGGGCGGCAGCGAAGCTTCATCTCTGCACACAGACTAGTTGCAACGGCACGGAGGCGCAGCTGTGGCAACTTAAGAGTGTGCAGTAGGGAAACCAGAGGGTGTCATTCGGTGGTATCGCGAGGTTGACACATCAATCGTCGTTGGAGAAAACCATGCTATCAGTACACGCTGCGCAGAATTACATTACTTATCCTTTCTCGACTCGTCGGTCGCTGCCCCGGGTGCCGTGTCACCAGGTACGGCATCCTCGTCGGCTTCGTCTTCGTCGGGCTCGTCCTCCTGGACATCCACGACACGATCCCTGGCATTCTCGAGGGTCTTGGCCATGAGATGGTTGACAAACTTCCACGTTGCCTACAGTACTGTTAGTACCCATGATATCAAGGGGGTCAAAAAACAGTACTTACTCCCAAAAAGGTCAGCACTCCAATAAGAACAAGACCCCAGTTGATTGACTCCATCCTGTCTCTGCCGGCCGCCCGTCTCCGACGACCCGCACCACCAAACCGTATGTTGATCCAATTGAACGGTGACATGAAGAACATGGTCTTCAGAAAACCCAGAATCCCCAGAGAAAGAAACCCTCTCATAAAGTGGCCAGCCCAGCTGCTCGGCCCATCATCCCTCAGTACCGGTTCATCAAACTCGATATCCATGAGCCCCCCGACAATGGTACCAAACGGATCATCCCAAAAACCGAGGATAGGGTCGGCGATAAACCCAAGGACGAAGATGGTAGCCACCATGATGGAAAGGGTCAGGGAGACCCGGAGGAGCCGGCTCGAAAGCCAACGGCCCCAGCGCAGGCGCTCGAGGCGGTACTCGAAGTGGCAGGTTGGGCAGCGCCAGTAGTTCCGGTCCGACAGAGGGGATGCGTTCCTCCAGGCCTGCAGACACCCCTCGTGGACATACCTCTGCGAGCCTTTGCATTTGCAAGGGCTGAAGAGGCGGCCGAGCTCCGGGTCCTCGGACACATAACGCACGCGGGTCTTGTTGGAGAAGACCCGGCCTGCGAACGAATCGTCAATCTCCGTCGTGGGATTGACGACCTCGAGACAGATGCGGCAAGTTCGCGGGCTATAGCGCCGTTGCTTCTGTGTAGGGGTCGGGCGTGGAGATGGAGTGTCCGAGGGGCCGGCAGCGCCGGATGTCTGCTCCTCGGGTGTCGGGGGTGTTGGCGCGTCGGTTCTGTGATTGTCATCGGATGTCTTGTCTGTTGCAGAGGGCCAGCCCCATCGCGGTTCGAACGATGTAGAGGCCATTGTGAAATCAAATGGCTGTGGAAGTCATGTATGTCTGATGTTTGAGTAAGTGAGGAAATAGGTGAAGTGCTTCACTCGACGTTGAAATGAACCACCAAGCATGTAATAAAGCTTGGGGGCTTGGAAAGTCACCGAATGTGACAGGTGTCAGTCCGCGCCAGCTGGTTTGCTCAAAAGTGCTGTCTGGGCGAGCTCGAGCGTTGTTGCGGAATGAGCCTCCCACTAAGCCTTACCTCTCCGAGCATCCCATTTATAAACATCCGCCCATAAAGAACGGGTTTGGGTTGGTTTCATCAGAACACCAAACAATGCCAGATTGGCAGAGGTTTTGCAACATGATGGAAAAAGAGTTTCTGAAAACTGACAGCTTTTTCAATTTCAGGCCCGCTTCCCCTTTGCGGTTAGACCACGAGCGGATCAGCCTGGCGGGACAACCCCCACCAAGCCGGCAACTGGGCGAATCAGCAGCTCCATCCAACAGCGGGTTGGCCCAAGCTCTCTCAGCGCTGAGGCCTGGCCATCGACGCGCAACATCGCTGTGCCTGGTTGCTGGTTGCGAACAACAGCAGCCTTGACTTGCAACGCCAACTTTGGAAATACAGCAAGACAACCCACGATTATCAACTTGCATCCCAACTTGAGCCTTCCAAACCGGCACCATGGCGGACAGATACTCGTTCTCTCTCACAACATTCTCGCCAAGGTAAGCCAACCGTCCCTAGGCTACAGTGTAAACGGTGATGTTAACAACCCGACAGCGGCAAACTGGTTCAGATCGGTCGGTCACCCATTCTTGCGCTTTGAAGCCCGCGATAGCTTTCAGCTAGCATAACGAGTCCATTCTCTAACAGCCACACAGAGTATGCGCTCAACGCCGTCAACCAAGGCGTAACAGCCCTGGGCATCAAAGGTCCGTTCCCCCCTCCCCACCTCTCCTCGCCCGGACCCCTCCTCAATCCATATCCCCCCCCCCTTCACGCGCAACCAAACACTGGGCATCCCCTAACATTACGCTCAACCCCAAACAGCCACGAACGGCATCGTTCTCGCCACGGAAAAGAAATCGTCCTCCCCGCTCGCCGACCCCTCCTCGCTCGCCAAGATCAGCCTCATCACGCCCAACATCGGCATGGTGTACAGCGGCATGGGGCCCGACTACCGGGTGCTGGTGGACCGGGCGCGCAAGGTATCACACACCGGGTACAAGCGCATCTACAACGAGTACCCGCCGACGCGGATCCTGGTGCAGGACGTGGCGCGCGTCATGCAGGAGGCCACCCAGTCCGGCGGCGTGCGGCCCTACGGCGTCAGCCTGCTGGTCGCCGGCTGGGACGAGGGCGTCTTGCCCGAGGAGGAGCTCGAGAAGGCCAAGGCCGAGAAGGCGGCCGCCGGCGCGGGGAAGGGAGGGGAGGAGGAGGGGCCCGGGGGCGAGGGCCCCAAGCTGAGTGATAGGACTGGCGGTGTTTTGAAGGGCGGGCCTATGCTGTACCAGGTCGATCCCAGCGGGAGTTATTTCCCCTGGAAGGCGACTGCGATTGGCAAGAGCGCTACGACGGCGAAGACGTTCCTTGAGAAGAGGTACACAGAGGGGCTGGAGCTGGAGGATGCGGTACACATCGCGCTGCTGACGCTGAAGGAGACGATTGAAGGAGAGATGAATGGGGAGACAATTGAGATTGGTAAGTTTGCGTTGTCAGTTTCCTGAGAGGAATTGCAAGTTTTAACTTGATCCAGGCATCGTCGGCGCACCCGCAGACCACCTCCTCGGCGTAGAGGGCGTGGAGGGTGCGGTGGGACCCCGTTTCCGGAAGCTCACGCCGCAGGAGATCGAGGACTACCTCACGAATCTATGATTTTGAGCATGGCGTTCCGACGGGATGGGTGGATGAATCATGAGGATCTTTCCGGGGTCCTTTCTCTGCAGGCAAAACCTTCACTGTACACTAGACGACAGGGTCACGAAAGGTGATAGAGAGGGAGAGAGAGAAAAGAACAACCCGGAGCTAGGCTTCTTTTTACTGCCATTCTTCAGGCTGTCGCCCGACCCTCAAGAACGAGTTCCTCGGCCCCGCTGCCACCCCCGTGACGGTCTCCCCCGTGCCGAGCACCGAGGCCAGGTCGATGCGCGTCCAACTGCGGGTGGAGGCTACCCCTGGCAAACCGAGCTGCCCATTCGTGTTGCTGCCAACCACGTACACCTCTCTGTCCGCGGTCAGCACGAGCATGTGCGCCTCCCCCACCGCGACGTCGACGATGTCCTTGTCGTCGATCACCACTGGGCTCGGGACATCGGAGAGCTCGTCGAACATCGGAGAGCGCCCTGCGTGGCCCCAACAGTAGAGGTCATTTCCGGCTGTCAGTGCGGCCAGCACGTAGCCGCCTGCTGCGAGCTTGATGACGGGGCCTGTGGGGAGGTCGTCGAGGTCGGTGACGAGGCTGGGGGTTTCTGCGGGGCTGGGATGGTGGGGTGAGGGGGGTTAATGTTAATTCTTGCTTGTTGGGGAGTTGGACGAGGGGGGAGGTGAGAGTGATATGCCAAGTACCTATGCACATACCTGGAAGCGGTAATCTCTCTGCCCAGGCAGGCCGTGTACCGCTCGTCACCCCATGTCCAGACATGGCCTGCTGATGAGAGGGCCGCGAAGCCGGTTTCGTAGGCGACCAGCTGGGTTATGTTGGGGAAGTTTGGGAAGCTGTGAGATTGGCCGTTGGAGAGGAGGTCGTGGATGGAAGGGTATTGGTGGAGGGTGTCCCTGTCGTCATGGGCTAGTGGTCATCAAAGTCGGCTGGCGTAAGTGATACTCTTGTTCATTGAAGATGGGCATATGGTCGCTACGTTACCTACGATGACCCCGTTGGATGCTTCGACGAAATTTGTGTAGGCCCATTCATCAGCCGTGCGTAACCTCTCATGGCCCTTTGGCACCAGGCCGGCTACTCGATATCCACCATTTTTGAGATTGACTATGTATACATCCACCCCATAGGTAGGCAACGATCAGCCACCGCTGATTTGGTGATACCCGTCTCCCATTCGCATCATACATCCAAGTGGTAGTTATGACTCACTTACCTCGAGTATATGAGAAAAATGGGCGAACGCAGTCATCATCGTCACCTCGCAACATGCAAGTGAAGCTTGGGATGTCATCGGGCTCGTTATCCCCGAAGGTTTCGAATTGCAATTGGTTCCAGGCATTAAACCCGGTTGCATAAAGCATCATAGCTAGGGGTCTTCGCCCTTTTGGGCAAAGTGACAAGGTCAAACAAATTCTAGAGTGATCTATTCCGCGATAGAAAAGCCTGAAAAGGCAGGTGCAGTCCTGGACAACGAGGAGAAGATGACGAGTCCCACGAGTCAACCTAAAATGGCCCCGCACTTGATGGAATGCCGCATCAGAACTCGGAAAGATGCATTCAATTGCCGTATGACACCACACCGAACGAAGCCCGCAACTTCAGCGCCGAAATTCGGCGGCTCTGCCCCGGGGCCATGGTACGCAATTACCCATTTGGGAACATGGAGGCATAACCAGTTCCTCGGGATGCGTCACTCACGGTTACACGCAGCTAGCAAATTTGCACTCGGGTAGGTTGTAAGCGCGGCAACCTACAGTTGACAAACGAAGCATCTAGGTTGGGATCGAATGGTCGGGACAAGGCTCTGAAAAGAGAATTCTGGTCACCCCATCCATGGCCTCGTGGCAGCTTTGAAGTATTCGTCCCAAGACAGACGGTCACAAGCAGTGGTGGTGGGCCTCACTCCACGAACAATAGAACATCTCGACCCAATTAAAATTGGGCCACCAGCACCATTCGATCCCCTAAATAAGGAGTTGAAGAGAAACTCTTGTGAACATTAAGCAAACAAGACATTGAAATGTCTTAAGCCAACGTACTCTTGCACTCGTTTGACCGCCCACTCTTCAGTATCTTGGTATGTAACTATGTGCATCACCCACGCGGGGAGAGCACCCCGCTGATCGAACCCCGGCCATCACTAGGATTAGGTTTACCTGCCGCGTCATAAGGTGGGCAACCAAGAACTACCTGTGGTCAGCGTTTGACTCTTCATAGCTAACCTATACAGAACCCAGGCAGCCGCGCAACTGCCTCGTGGCCTTGCAGATACCTGGTAGCACTAAGGCATACTTGCTTAGCCGTATGACGACCATGGATTCCGACTACGGCAGTTTGAGCTCCTCGGAGCCGGACGAAGAGCCATTCTATAAGCCAGCTGATGGATCGGATACCGCTGCGTCGGCCGACGGCAGCAGTGTCTCAGATGATGTCCAGCTGGAACCCAGAGACAGCCCTCGCAGCAGCACTCCGGACGACGAAGAACCTCCAGTGGTAGTAACCATGACTGCGAGGGCCTACCAACTCGAGATGCTCGAGGAGAGCTTGAAACAGAATATCATTGTTGCGGTATGCTGTGGCCCCTAGAAACGGAAATCGGCTCATTTCGTTAACTAACATATTGCCCCAAGATGGACACTGGGAGTGGCAAAACCCAGGTGTAAGTGGTAGTAGATACCGCTATTTAGGCAGAACCATACTGATAAGAACGTCAGTGCCATCCTTAGAATGCAGGCAGAGCTTGAACAGAGCGACAAGGTTAGTCTAGGCTGCCGACGAAGTCAAGAATCCACAACTAACTGTTCAGATTGTTTGGTTCTTGGCTCCGACAGTATCCCTAGCCGAACAGCAATTCGAGGCAATTCGGGCTCAAATCCCAGGAGTCCAATCCAAACTGATCCTCGGCTCCGACAGTGTGGATGCCTGGTCGACTCAACCTGGCGTGTGGGATGCCGTCCTCCTCAACACCCGTATCGTCGTGTCAACCTATCAGATCCTGTCCGACGCTGTATCTCACGCCCTAATCCCACTCTCTTCTCTTGGCCTCGTTGTCATTGACGAAGGTCAGAAAACTTTACTCCAGACTAGCAATACCGCAGCTGACCCTGATAGCCCACAACGCCAAGGGGAGGAATCCCATCGCAAGGCTTATGAAGGAGCACTATGTCCCCAGCAAGGCGGAAGGGCTCCCTGTACCCCATATCCTGGGCCTCACGGCGAGCCCTCTCATGAGATCCAATCTAAGCGACCTCGAAGTCCTTGAGCAGACCTTGGATGCCGTCTGCAAAACGCCGAGCAAACACCGGGACGAGCTCATGGCTCAGGTCAACCGTCCCGAGATGAAGGTCACTGCGTACGGGTCCATGATCAACCCCGAGACCGACACTGAGCCTACTCCGACTATGGCAAAACTGAAAAGTGCCTACTTGGAGCTTGACATCCGACAAGATCCATATGTCCGGCATTTGTTGACCGACAAGACGCCGCGGGGCCGCGCAAGGCTCAAGAAGGTTCTCTTAACCAAGCAAACATACTGTAGGTCGCAGATGGAGGCCTTCTGTAGGGGAGCTTTCGACATCTGCAAATCCTGTGGCCCTTGGGCTGCCGATTACTACATCCATAGGGTCATTTCTGCATTCGTCAAAGACCCTGCGCCTGTCGCCCCTGGCCATACCAACGAAAATCTCGCGGAACAAGAACGGAAATATCTTGTTGAGGCATTCCTGAAGGTAGACGCTCAGGCGCCTCCTGAGATCCCAACAACTCTCTCACCGAAGGTGCAAGCTTTGCTCGGCGCTCTCGAATCCCACCAAGAAAATCCATTTGGGATCGTTTTTGTTAGGGAGAGGGCGACAGTCGCCGTCTTGTCGCACATCCTCGCCGTCCACCCCAAAACATCGCACCGTTACCGAGTGGGCTCCATGGTGGGCACCTCGAGAGTACCAGGGAGAAGACAGGATTTTCTGGACCTGAGCCAAAAGGAATACTTGCTTTCGTTACTCTCATTCCGGAAAGGGACGATTAATCTCCTGGTGGCAACGAGCGTGCTCGAAGAGGGAATTGACGTGCCGGCATGCAACCTCGTTATTTGTTTTGACAAGCCCGACAACCTCAAGTCCTTCATCCAACGCCGGGGCCGGGCACGGATGTCGGCATCTCGGCTGTACCTCCTCGTCGAGGATGAAGCAGACGGCTCGTCACGCGGGTGGCAGAATCTGGAACAAGAGATGAAGCGCAAGTACGAAGACGACATGCGCGAGAACCAGCGACTCGAGGAAATTGAAAACATCGAAGACATGGATTACCCTGTCCTAAGATCCCAGGAGACGGGCGCTCAAATCACCATTCTCGATGCCAAGTCGCACCTCGAACACTTCTGCGCCACCCTCTCCACGCGTAAGTTTGTCGACTGGAGCCCCTTTTATGTCGTCCACGACCTAGAAGGGAACCCGGTCGACCCCCATCAGCCGGGTCTGCGGAAGGCCACTGTCCATCTGCCAGTCTCACTGGCCCCCGAATTGCGATGCTTCCAGAGTCTCCAAGCCTGGACCTCGGAAGCGAATGCTTGCAAAGATGCTGCATTCCAGGCATACGCCAAGCTTTACGAGGTCGGGTTAGTCAACCACAACCTGCTACCTATCAGGGAAACCGACTTGATAAAAGATGTTGAGCCGCGTGTCGGCATGGCCACGGTCAGGGAGCAGTTCAACCCCTGGCCGTTGATAGCCCGAGCGTGGCAGGACGGCGTTCCAGTTTCCCGGAGGACACTGTCAGTCTCCAGCCACGACAACCCAGTTTCTGCCGAGCTTGAGCTAGCACTACCGGTACCGGTCCCTGACATGGAACCATTCAATTTGTACTGGAGTCATACATCGTCGTGGCTCATTGGGATGGACTCTGATACGCCCATGTCAAGCGTGGCTGCCGGGGGTCAGGCCGATCACACGTCTACCTTGCTTGCCATGGCCTTTGGGCACAGATGGAATGTCGAGGAGAAGCAGTTCCCCGTTCGGTTCACCTGTATGGACCAGGATATACGCCTTGAGGACATGGGCTCCGATGTAGCGAGCGCTGAGCTTTTGCGCCAAAAGTCGTTCGCTCATCTCGTCCGCGATACTGGCAACCGAAACCACCCGTACTTCTGCTTGGACTGGATTCCCACCAAACCTGCGGTCGAGCTTGTTGCGAAGCCTTATCGGGGCTTCGAAGAGGCTCCCGAGGATAGCGCGTACGTGGCCGTCAAAACCTGGCCCAGGAAATCGGGCGCCTTCCGCCCGCTTCATCAAAACTCGGCACCGAAGCCAAGCAGCAAGCCCTATCCGAGGATTCTCCCCGCGGATCAAGTCCGAGTGGACAAGGTGCCTGCAATTTATGCTCAGATCGGCATGATGATACCCGCCATCACTCATGCGCTCGAGGTTCATCTTGTGGCTAAGGACCTTCTTGAGTCTCGCTTGGAGCAAACGGGCATCACAGACTTGTCACTTATCGTCACCGCGATCACTGCCAGTGCGGCTAGAGGCCCGACTGACTACGAGCGGATAGAGTTCCTCGGAGATTCGATCCTCAAGTTTTGCACGACTATCAATTGTTCTGCCACATGTAAGTTCCGATCTCGTGTCTGCGTCCGCCCTAAGCTAACACAAGTGACAGACTTGAAATTCCCAGAGGGGTGCCTGTCACCCTTGAAGGACAAGATTGTGTCAAACTCAAGGCTATTCCGGGCCGCCGTCGATTTTGGCCTGGACCGGTACATTATCCACAAAGCCTTTACTCTTCACAAATGGAGACCGACGTATGTCGAAGACCTTATCGAGAATCCGCCTTCTGCGACCGAGACAAGGAGGATCTCGACCAAGATCATCGCAGATGTGGTCGAGGCTCTGATCGGAACCGCCTTCGTGAGCGGCGGTATCTCTAAAGCTCTCGCTTGCATGTCCTTATTCCTCCCCGATGTCGCGTGGAACAGCATCGAGTACGGCCGCGAAGTTATGTACAACGAGGCCCCCGATGACGAACCGCTCCCCAGGACCATGCGTCAACTAGAGTCGTTAGTCGGGTACACTTTCACCAAGAAGGCGCTCCTCGTCGAAGCCATGACCCACCCCTCCTGCAACGGCCCCGGCATCCGGGCCTCGCTCGACCGCCTCGAGTTTCTCGGCGACGCCATCCTGGACTACGTCGTCGTCAACAAGCTCTTTGCCATCTCCGACCCCGCCCCCCTCGAGAACTCCTCTCTCCACCTCCTCCGCACCGCCCTCGTCAACGCCGACATCCTCGGCTTCCTCGTCATGGAGTGGGCCATCACCGAGGACGGCGTCGAAGTCACCGTCACAACCGACGAGAACACCGACGACGAC